CAGAATTCTGAGCTGTTTTATAACGTTTTCAAAGGTTGTGGAAGTAGTGAGGTGGTGGCACTAGCTTATGGTCCAGTTACTGGAGTTACCGAGGGAGAGAAGACAGACGGGGTGGTCAAGTAGCTGGGCCGCACAACGATGGAGAAGTTACCATAGGAACCGCAAAGACAATGCCACTGGGAAAAGCAATTTAAATCATTTGTGCACTTCCAAACCAGGAAATGCTCCTAGGCTCTGAGGGGAACGTTCAGGCTGGGCCTGATGAAGTCATCTGCACGTCATGTAGCTAACAATCAACATAAGAGCTGAGCACACAAGGGGACAGGCCACATGGAACGCATTTGGGTGGCAGGGATGTGTCTCCGCATCTGCTGCTCAGCCACCTTCATAACACGTCCTACAAAGTCCTCCCTGATCCTCTGGCTCGTTCTCCCCACTCTCTGCTCTTATCTCCCTAAACATGGAGTTTCAAAGTTTAGGTGAATGTTTAAGGCAAATACCATCCTTCCTAATTTTTAACTTTATACTTCAAATAGGCTCCCAAGAGACATTTCAGCATATCATAAAACAATTATTTTTTTAAAGACTTAAGAAGCTGTGTCTACACAGTAGACTTTATAAAGATGTCCCTGCATATTTTTAGATCCCATACAATTGAAAAATATAGAAATGGAGAGCAGAGAAATTGTTTTTCCGGTTTTAAATAAAACTATATTAATGAGGCATTATAGATCAATATGGACACCTCAAATAAATACACTAATATGCTTAATAAAACTATTGAGATTCTACACTGCTGAACAAAAGTCACCCTCATCATTCATTCAATATTATCTTTATCCAAGATGGCAATATGGGCCATGCACTTCATTTTATTTCATTAATTATTTTAGGTACAATTTTTGTATATTTTATTAAGAGAAATTATTTTTTATTGTTGTTCCTTTTGGTTTTTGAAGGATGAATGAGTGTGGGGGCAGAAAGGGTGTGTGTGTGTGTGTGTGTGTGTGTGTGTGTGTGTGTGTATGTGTGTGTAAGTAAACCATTCTTGGAACCCCCTGTTTCTTTCAATCCAATGGCTCTCCAAGAACCCCAGAGCAAAGGCAGTTATCAGTGATTGCATGTTGACTGACTGGCATGCTGAAAAAGCTCAGGATTATTTTGTCATCTCCTGAATGAGCTCTCTCTCTCTCTCTCTCTCTGTCTCTCTCTCTCTCTCCTGCCTTTTAGATTCATCTTCAACACATGGCATTTAAATGTTGGATTCTTCAGCCCCTGCACACTCATCTCTCCTCTTTATCTTCAGGCGATCTTCCCTTACTGTGGCTCACACTCAGTCACAACTCACTCAGTTCTCTACCGCCCTCCCATCATCACGCTGCTGCACTGTTGTCTCTAACTGGCCTTTCGCTGGCGTTTTTCTACCTAGTAACTAACTCATCCTTTAGATCCCAGCTGATCAACATCAGAGCCAGGCTATTTTGTACTTGCTCTGATCTCCCTAGTGTGAACTTCTGTAACACCATGTAACTTTTCTTTATAGTAGTCATTACAGGTGTGGATGTATTTATATATATATATGAATATATATCATATGTAAATTATTATATATAAATTATATATAATTTATAGTATATATTATTATATAATATAAATATATATGTATATTTAAAATAATATATTTATAATATAAAATTATATAAATATATAATTATATATATTATATATAAATATACATTGGATATATATGGACTCTGCTAGATTCTCATGTATTCTGCTAACAATTTTTCCTGCCTTTTTTCTAATTTTGTTTTCTCAAGTATTAGTTTTCAGTTTTTCATATTTAAACTCTACTAGCAAAAATATCTGGTTGGCTTAATTAGTATCTATGTCTCTTTGTAAAAGTCTCTGTGACAATATCCAAATGAACTTCCTTTAGGCCAAGGCAATCTCTATCTACTGTCTGTGGCCAGGATTAGGGAACTAAAATACAACAGATGTTTTTCTCCATCATACTCTGCTTACCAGGAACTAGAGAAGTTGGGGAAAACTGGAGTTAGATGAGGAGCAGTAACAGAAAAGAAGCTTGGACAAGTGAGGTATTTAACATTCTGCTTCTTGATGCTCAGCTCAACAGAGTCTTCATTCTTCTGCATGTGTACTTGGCACAATTAGGCAATTAATGTCAAGTCCCTTTAGAACTAGCAAGCAAAGAAAATCTGTGAGAGCAGATCTGATGTATTTGGGGAATGGCTGTTCTATCACTCGGCTTACCAGAAGGTGAGATAAACAAATAAGTGGAGGAAGACAGTCTCTGGTTCACTTTCCTCCTGGGTACACGCCTTCAGGCCCCACAGCCCAAGTGGAAGGGCTCTACAAGGCCTCCCCTTTGTAAGGCTTTGGACTCTAATCCAAACCCTTACAACAGGAAGCCTTCAATTTCTCCACTTTCTCTATTATAAAATATGGGCATAATTATGATCAAGGATAACTATAGAGATTAGAATTTTATTATTAAAGATTAGAAAAGATAGACACCCTCCATTCATTACCTGACAAAACACTCTAGCGTGGAGGTTCACAGACCAAATTCTAGAACCCAATTGCTCTGACTAAATTCTTGCTTGAATAGCTACACACTATCTAAATATTTATATCTTTGATCCTCCTCCTCTCTCTCATGTGTGCACAAGCACATGTGTCTATGTGTACAGATCAAAGTACAACTCTCAGGAGTTATTTTCTTCCTGCCACATTGTGGGATCCAGGGATCAAACTAAGGCCATCACACTTGTGCCTGTAACCACTGAGCTATCCCACCAGCACTCTCTTCATATTACTTATTGAGACTGTTGTATCCTGCCTGATCAAGTTGTGGCCACCTGTCACTCAGGAAACATTTGCTCATAGGTAGCAGAAAAGAGCATTTACTGGGTCACATACCAGAAAGTCCAAATGATGTCCTAGCTTAGCCATGGCTAGATGCAAGAGTTTCATTCAAGACCCTCACTATCTTGTGCCTTGGGCTTTATCCGAGTAAATAACATTCTTGACAGTTTCCTCCATGTGTTGACAAAGACCTATCTGCCCTTCCTTTCACTTCTTCAGTTGTATCTGAGACAAAGAAAAAATTCCCAAATTTTATTCTGTCATTGAACCAACAATCAGAAATATAGATGATTCCATTTGGCCAAGTCATTGCAACAAACGGAAAGTGCACTGCGTTCATTCAGACGTCATTATCTACTGGAAGAAAGATGCTGAACACAAGATTCCACAGCTCAGTCATCTTCCAGGGATCAAGATGACAATTAAAATGTTCTCTAGAGAGTTACAAACACGTATGTGTGATGTTCAAAATGTTGGATAACTTAGAGTGTACAACATCAGTCTAATAAGCTTGCAGACGAGTGCTAGAGACCAGCACATTTGTGTTGAATAGCAATCCTTTGTCAAAAGCCAATACTCAGTTAACTTTTAGGGCACTTAAATATTGAATCCGATTCATTCTCATTGAGTAATACCTGCTAACTCTGGCTTGCTTGTTCACCTATAGCCATTAAAAGGAAGGGCTGATGTAAGCAGATTTCCTCAGAACCTTTTCTTTATGAGACTGACATGCTACCTACAGGGCTAAGGAGGTACCTTTAGTTGTTGTGGTGGTTTTGAATTCCCTTTGTCAGTGCATGTGTGTGACAACAGGACAGAGGCATGCACGTCGGATGTAGGATTTTTAAACTGAACTAAAGCATCAGTATCTTTGACGTGGACACGTGTTTGCCTGCCCTGTTTTGGACCAATGTTGTCTTTACTCTCTGGCTAAGAAAAGCAGAAAATCTCTTTTCCTTTCTCTACCACTATCAAATACTTATCAAACACCCCTGGTCTCAGCTGGTCCCATCCTTGTTCAATGGCATGCCACTTTTTAAAATTGAGTTTAGAGCAGTGGTAGGCACAGGCCTTTAATCCCAGCACTTGGGAGGCAGAGGCAGGCAGATCTCTGTGAGTTCAAGGCCATCTGGTCTACAGAGTGAACTCCAGGGCAACCAAGGTTACACAGAGAAACCTTGTCTCAAAATTAAATTACATTAAAAATAAAATTAATGAAGTTAAAATTAAATTAAAAATCAAAATTAAATTAAATTTTAAGATTTTTTTTATTAAATACAGTTTATTCACTTTAAATCCCAGCTATAGCCCTCTCCCCCATCCTCTCGAAATCCCACCATTCCTCCCTCTTCTTCTCCTATGCCCCTCCCCCAATCCAATGATAGGGTAGGTCCTCCTCCCCTTCCATCTGACCCTAGTCTATTAGGTCTCATCAGGAGTGGCTTCTTTGTTTTCTTCTGTGGACTGGTAAGGCTGCTTCGCTGCTCAGGTGGAGGTGATCAAAGAGCAGGCCTATCAGTTCATGTCAGAGATAGTCCCTGTTCCTATTATTGGAGAAGCCTCTTGGACACTGAGATGCCATGGGCTACTTGTGTTCAGGGGTTCTAGTCCTGGTCCTTGTTTGGAGTATCAGTCTCAGAAATTTATTTTTAAAAATAAAAATAAATAAATTGAGCTTATATGAAGTTCCCTCTGATTAGAGACTTTAGTGTAGGAATTTAATGAGCTGGTTCAATTTGGATAAAGAATGTTATCAACAACTGATTGAGTGTGTGTGTGTGTGTGTGTGTGTGTGTGTGTGTGTGTGTGTGTGTGTATACATACCGTTCTTATTACACTCCCTTCTGAATTAGTGATGAAAGCACTTGGCATAGAATCTATGCACAAGAAGCACCGGCTCCCACTGGTCCTGCAGCTTGCTTGCATCACTTAGCACACCATCCTCCATCTTGTCTCCCAGGCACAACTCAGTACTTGTGTCTGTTCACCCTATTTCCAAATCCTCCTGGCTGATACGCAAACCTGCAGAAAGAAACCTTTGCCAGCTTCATCTAACCTTCACTCCCTTCTTCCTGTGGGAACTGAAGGGCGTCATGGCTGTCTCCTTTCAGGTGTGCAGAGAATACAGCAACTGCAAGCGAACATAAAGTACTTCCGGAAGCGGCTGATGGAGATGGGATTCCTCATCTACGGCAATGACTGCTCTCCCATCGTCCCCATGCTCCTCTACATGCCTGCGAAAGTAGCGTGAGTACCCGGAGACCCTCAGGGTCATCTCCATACCAACTGTGTCATGACTGACATGGTATGTTTGATACCCGGGGTTTTTCTGTGCACAAATTAGATTATTGTGCTTGGCAAGGTCCTTGATTTCTGACGTCAGACACTCGGCTTCTCATATGCCACCTGCCAGCAGCGTCTTCCATGTATCTTCCAAAAAGGAAGACAAGTGCCAAGGTTCACCTCTCTATACCATTTTCAAGCTCTGGAAATTTGAAGAAATGATTTATCTCAACTGTAAGAGATGATCTTGAGCCTCCTTCTGACCCAAAACTATTCCTCCAACATACAACCCCGATATTGGGGCTTTCTGTTTGACCATCACCCATCTTTCTGAACAGGTAGATAATTTATAATAAAAAAATACTTCTAAAAGAATTTGGATCCTAGACTGTTGAGAACTCATACAAAGGAGACATGAGTCATAAGTTCTCAGAAGGATGATTCTCCTAAACATATCCTTGTGTCATTTTGCCACAGCAGAACACTGAGCGGTTGAAACACACACGTGACTGGGTTGTTTAGTAGGCTACACCGTCAGTACCAGTCACCCCTTTGAGCAAATGTAAGTAAAAAAAAATAATGTACTGCATGTCCAGGGAGACATCGTGTTCAGTCATGGCAGAAGAAGGACAATGGAGAGTCTGCAAAGCCATGAGTCTAAGCCAGACTCAACTCACACCCACTTATTCAAAAGGATTAGGCACATAGCATGCTCTAGAAGGAAGGTTTCAAACCTGGAGCTTGTCTACCTAATGTTTTATTATTAGCTTAAAAGAAGGCATTCACATAAGCCTGTTGAGGTTCGCAGTGTACCAGCGCGAGAGCACTAATGAGGGTGCAGGAAGATGGAGACCAGAATTGGAATCTCCACAAGTGGGAGCAGTGAGTGATCCAGTGAGGAGGCCATTAGCGTAAAAACAGCATGCTTTTACTTTGCTTTCACACTGATACATAAAATATAAAATTACGCAGATTAGGTGGGTGTCATGTTTATATAGCTATACAACATAAATATATACATGTATAGTCACATAGTGTTTAATTTGGGGAAAACATCTATTTCTACAAACTTTTATTGTTTCTTTATGGTAAAACTATTCAAAAACTTTCTTTGAGCTTTTAGAAATACAGAATATGTGATCAGGATGCACAGCTGCCCAAAGGGCACTAATATGCTCGAATTAATGCATTTCAAGCTTACTAATACACTAGACAGCACAGAACCTTTCTTAATGTTGTAGTGGCAGGTTCAGAATCAGAATTTTGGCTCATTCTTGGAGAATCTTGGACAAGCGAGCCAACCTTCTGAAGACCAGTTTTCTCCTGAATGAAATAAGATGGATTCGTGCCCACTTCCTGAGACTAAATACGATAAGAGGCTGGGCTATAATTCAGTAATAGAATGCTCACCTGACACACACAGAATCCCAGCTCCGGTCTGCAGTGCTGAAGACAAAGAAAGGAAAGGTCCATGGCATCTGCAATGACCCTTTCCAGGGAAGAGTTACTCAAGGCGTGCTCTTACTGACAGCTTTAATTACAGGTATAGTGATTAATATAGTTCTTAATGCAGGGACTTAGGGGCCTGCAGTTAAAGATTGTTCTTCAGGGGACGCTAATATTGCTGATGTTGATTATATCCTAAATAGGGCTTTTTGACTTTTCGGAACACTCCCTATGGCTGCGGCGTTTCCTCCTGGTTTATACGTGGGATTATGAGACTAACAAAATTCAGATTACTTTCTTAGGTTCACCCAAGTTGGAATCAAAGAAACTAAGAATAATGCCGTTTTCCTTTGCCCATGGGCTGAAGCTCTGAAACCTGCAGCCTTCTTTCAAGTTTTAGTGTATATCTCATTAAAACAACACAGAGTGTGGGATTAATAGTCTTGAATGTTGTCTTTGACAACTCAAAATGCATCAGTCACTATGACAGAAAAAAACTGCCTACTTTGGTTCCCTAGGGAACCAAGAACAGGTGACATAGAGAAGGTAACAGCCTCTATTTGATACAACAGTTATTCTCAGAATTTGCTCACCTGCCTGGCTTTGTTTTCTTCTATGATGTTGCTTTGGTTGAAAGGTTATATGTGAAGAAGGTTTCAAAATAGGGAGTAAATTGTATCAGCCAGTGTGAACACACTTGTTTTTATTTTCACATTTAAAACGTTTGATGTGAGGGGCTGAGGAGACACGGAACAGCTGCTAAAGGTGACCCCCAGAGCCTCAGCATACAAGCAAAAGCAGCCGCAACTCTGGGCAGAGCAGGACAGGCAGGTCCTTGGGGCTCCTGGGCCAGTCAGTGGAGCCAAACTGAGAAGCTCAGGGTGCAGTGAGAGACTACTGCAAAATAATGACTAAAAAAAAGAGGTCATGAAACTAGAGAGACTGGGCAGGACTGTCGAGAAGCTGGAGGAGGGGGTGCAGATGGCAGTAATGTAAATTCCATACTATGAAATTGTCAAAATTCATAATAAAATAAATATTAAAAATAAAAGCGGAACAAGATTGTGGAGGACAGCCAAATCCACCTGTGCTTCACAGGCCTGTACACACACACACACACACACACACACACACACACACACATACTTGCATATATACACACAATAAATAAATTTTGAAAACATTTAGACCTTTGATATTCTTTTTTTTCTTTTTATTTTATTTTTGAAATATTAGTTACGGTTTATTAACTTTGTATCCCAGCTGTATCCCGCTCCCTCATTCCCTCCCGATCACACCCTCCCTCCCTTATCTCCTCCCTGCCCCTTTCCAAGTCCACAGAGAGGGGAGGTCTCCTCCCCTTCCATCTGATCCTAGCTTTTCAGGTCTCATCAGGACTGGCTGCAATGTCCTCCCATGCTCCTGCTTCGGGGGGGGGGGGGGTAGGGAGGTCAAAGAGGCAGCCATTGAGTTTATGTCAGAAAACTGAGATTTCATAGTTCTACCTATGTGAGATGAAAAATAATCTCAAGTGAGATGTAGTTCTGAACTATATTGCAACAGTATAATCATCTGTGGTGCTCAGTACAGTGTAACTTCAGCCATGAAATGTGCAAATCAGGCAGGCAAGATGGCTCAGCAGGTAGAGAAGTGTGCTCTCTGATAAGCTGATAACCTCAGCTCAACTCCTGAAATCCACACTGGGGAAGGAGAAAAACAGCTCTAAAAAGATACCCTCTGCCCTCACACACGTGCCGTGGCACACATGCCTGCACACTTACAAAATAAATAATAAATAGGTATAGAAATTCAAGCACACATATGAAGAGTACATTACATTCAGCCTGAGGGACAAGGTTTATGCTTCCTTTGCACTGTCCTTGTCATGCACATGGGGGATTTTGGTATAGAAGATATTGTCATGCTTCAGCTACTGAAGTGAGAATGTGCTTATCATCATTATTATTATTGCTTCTGGCCTACAGCAGGCCTACTCTGCTTTGGGAGTTATGTGCCCAGAGGCTCATTATATAAAATGTAATCACCTATTTTCTCTGCAATAGTCTAAGTTTTAAATTCACGTATGTCCCAGGGGCGCCCGGATCATCCTAGTGAACCAACAGTTATATATTTCTTTCAACATTCTTTGGCAAAACTCCCTTTGGTCCAAAGGGAACCATACAGGCAGGGAGATGGTCTTCTGGGAGTGGCAAAACCTAGCCTGAGATCATGGGTCAGGTGGTTTGTATCTGGCAATAAAGCACTTGACTTGTCTCTCAGACTATTCTGTGCTCTCATCCTGTGCAGTGCTGTGGGCAGCCTTCCATAGGGTGATCAAGAAGGCAGAGAATACAGCCCCTGTTTTCAAACTTTCTCAGCTAGAAAGCTTTGCCGCCTGTAACCTTCTTAGTAGAAATCAAAGGGAGAAATCTCGCCTTGCCCAAGCCAGGGGGGCTGAAGGACTGTGTGTTCAGTCGGTTATGCAGTCTCCGCTGTTTTATTTGATAACATGAATTCTGCACGAGGTAACCGAAGTGCAGACAGCTAAGTAGGAGGATGGAGGAATGGGTGGGTAGTCTGGTTCAGTCATAGAAGGTTTCTATGCTGCTGTCAGCCTCCAGCCTAATATAATACACCAGCAAGTCCTCAGTGCTGAGAACAGACCTGAGACCTTGACATCACTTGTCAGTAGAGCCAGCCAATTTCCCATGGAGAGCAACTGAGCCCAAAGGGAAAAAGACTCAGTGTGCGTCTTTTAATCTGACTTCAGCTCTTAGAAAAGGTGATCTATAGACTTCAAGGGTAATATTCTGGGATCATTCTGAGATTAACTTGGAAATAAACAAAAAGCATAAGCATGAAGGGAAGGAAGAACTTATGAAGGTTTCTCTGCCTGGAGGAGCTTTGCAGTTGGTCCTATGACTGACATCCTAAAGGCTGCAAGTGCCATGAGGGTCTTTTTCCTCCCTGCTCACCTCGAGCCTAGACACTTAGTTGTTCCTTTTGTATGCACCTCCATATATTCACTCACAAACACAGAATTAAAAAAGGAGACCCTCGCCATTACTTACTTCTCATTTGATGTAGCATGTAGTCTTCATCCTAGAGTAAGAATATCAATTTGAGGTTGGACTCTACCAATCCTCAAATCCTGATCCTCAAATTGTAGTCACTAAATACCCCTTTTTAAAATGTCAACAATCAATACTGCAATTCAATTTTTAAATCACGTAGTTTACATTTAATAATTATAATTTCTAGTGTCATTGTATCGTATTAGCTGTTTGATTACTAGTCCAGGAACTCTGCAGATCAAATTCATATCAGTGCAGACTTCTTAAATCAGCATCACAGACATCAGCATTTCCCTCTCAATGTCAAAAATTCCATATGACAACAATCCAACTGACCAGTGTGTCGGGTTCCATAAAGCACACACTCTGCTAAGAGGGACAGCAAGTTATTGTCCATTTCTTGGTCTACTGTGTGGGGAAAAGTTTAATCATTCTTTTATTGACATCATTTAAAAAAAAAACATGTCAACTAACTGTATTCTTTTTTTTCAGCATGTTGATTCTATCTTCTTTCAGTTGACCTCTTTTTTTTTTTTTCTTTCCCTAAGAATTTTTGAAAGGCTTATGCGTAAGAAAAATATTGCAGTGGTGGTTGTTGGATTTCCAGCTACTTCCCTGACAGAAGGTCGGGCTAGATTCAGCATTTCCTCAGCACACACTCGGGAGATGCTGGACAAAGTGAGTATCCGGCTGCCAACAGAGTCACTACTTCTGATACCCTGGGTATTGAGCATGTACTTTTGTTGAGCCATCTTAGGGTTCTCTAGAGTGGCTTAGGAAAAGAAAACTAATGACAAAACAACCAACAATACGCCCAAATCAAGAGGCAGAAAAAGGCTTGATTAAAGTCAGAATATTGGTTTTATAGAAAAGACTGAGTAGTCAAATGTTCTATTTGTCTGCTCTGAAAACTAAAAGCTGGTGACACACACTGTAAGCATTACTGCCTGGTAGTTTTTGAAGGTACAAAAGCTTCTATAATAAAATATGACCTAAATTAAACAATACTGATATGAAAATGATAAGGATGCTACATAATAACAATAACATTTGAGCTAGGAAGAAGTAATTTTAAAATGTATTTTATTGTCACTTAATTTTAAATTTTATATGAATAATATCAAGAAACTAAGCCACCTCAGTCAGTCCATATATCAATGCATTTTTATAAACATTGATGCATGTCTATCATATACAAAACCTGGAACAAAAAGATCAGACAATACTGACAAATTAGATAAATAACAAACCAATAATAATTCCAGACAACTGATGAGATCTGACAGGCTAGGGTCAGAGGGAAGGGGAGGAGGACCTCCCCTATCAGTAGACTTGGGGAGAGGCATGAGAAGAGATGAGGAAGGGAGGATAGGATCAGGAGGGGAAGAGGGAGGTGGCTACAGTGGGGATACAAAGTGAAGAAGATGTAATTTATAAAAATAAAAAGAAATTTAAAGAAATTTAAAAAAATAGTTCTAGACAAAATAAATTAACCATGAAGAAAAAAACCATAGGAAATACTATGGGAGCATAAAAGTGAGGTTAATTATTAGAGTTTATTCACAAGGAAAGTGACTTGTCAGATGGGCCTTATTAAAGGACAATTATGAAGCATCATTTAGTCCTTTAACCAGGAGAGCAATGTGATCAGTCACTGTGGAATAAGAGTGACAAGTGGGTTAGAAAGAAAAGAGCTCAGAGCAAAGGACGTGAAACAGTAAGTGTTGGCAAGGCCAATGGTCAAGCAACAACTAAAGATGAAAATATGAACACACACCCTGAATACATGAATTGCCAAGATCCAACACATAACTAAATGGAGGGGGTGCCTGGGCAGAGGCGATCAGTGCTCTAGCTCTCCAGCCTTGCTGAGCAGTACACGAGAGGAGGCATCAGATCAAACATCTTTAATGAGGGAGGAGGAAGAAGGTGAACTCAGTCCTGGACATTAAGAGTATGTGCCTCTAGACCACTGATGAATGTGAAAACTGCTCTAGAGCTCAGGAATGATTGTAAGCCTAGAGCTATTATAGTTTACAGAACTGTAGGGATGTTAACGCCAAAGATAAAAGATCTAATTGTTGAGACACAAACAACAGTGGTCAGGACAAAGGCAGGCTGCAGGAGAGCACCTACATCCTGAGACGTGGAGTTGAAGGGGGGACACAGGCAGGATTTAGGAAGAGCTAAAACTGCCAGGAAGGGTGTGTACTGCTATAGTGTTAAGAAAACTAAACACCAAACAATTTCCAGAAAAAAAGACAAGAAAGTTACCTAAATATTAAAAAGTTCAAGTAGGGTAAGAGATGGGAAGAAACTTTCAGACTAGCAATTACTGGGAGCTCTGTGTTCCTTAGAGTGGGTGGTTTTATGAGGGTGCAAAGAACAAAAATGAGAGCGTAACAAATACAGAGTGAACAGTATCATTTGAGCTTGAATTACACACGTACACACTACAGAGATAGACGAGTGGAGAGAAGTGGGGAGAGAGAAAGAGATGGGGGAAGGTGAGAGATTGAGACAGAGAAATACAGAGACAGAGAGACAGAGGAGGGAAGAGAGGTGAAAGAGAGATAGAGAGATAGCAACAGAGAGCCAGAGGAGACAGAAGAAAGAAGAGGCATGGGCAGAGACAGAAAGACAAATATAGAGAGACAGGGATAGCAATAGAGAAACAGAGACAATGAACAGTGACAGAGAGATAGAGACAGAAATAGAAAGACAGGGAATCAGAGGGGGAGGAAAGGAGAGGAAGAAAGTGATGGGAGAGCAGGAAAGAGACAAAATAGGGGAAGAGGAGAGAGCTAGAGAGACAGAAGGAGCAGGGGAGAGAAGAGAGACAGGTAGAGACAGAAAGAGACAAATAGAAATAGCAATAGTCAGAGAGACAAAGTGTGGCGAGAAGAAGAGATTACGAAATGGAGAGGAGACAAGAGACAGAGACAGAGAAGGAGGTGAAGAGAGATAATATCAGAAAGACAGAGGGGCTGTGTGAGGAGAGAGAGATGCAGAGACAGAGGGAAAGAAGAGAGAAAGACAGAGACAGAGAAAAAGGGGAGAAGGGAGGGAGAGAAATAGAGGGAAGAATTGAGGGAAGAAAGAGAAAAGAGGGGAGAGAAAAAGGGGAAGAGGAAGGAAGGAAGCTGGAGGGAGGCTTGTGTGTTTTTGTTTACACAAGAAAATAAAATAGCAATAATGAGGAAACCCTTCAGCAGTGGGAAAGAGGACATCAACACTGAGTAAGTGCCAAAAGGTGATGGCAATGAAGTAGATAGCAGAGGTGACACTTTATTCCTTGTCATCCAAACAGCACTAAGACCTCAAATACAGCCAACTCTATGGTTACCAGGCCGTGGGCTCCCTTTTATAAAGTCTTTATTGCCATGAAATGCCCAGCACGCTGGGAGCAGTCACTTCTGAGAGCACACAGGCATTCCGATGTAAACTTGTGAGCAGTCATTAGATATGACAGAGTGAAACCTGACCCTTTGAATAGTCAGGGACTAAGGAAGTGACTGGACACGACCTCTCATAGAAGAGAAACAATGTTAGACAAAAGCAGGGGGGCTGGGGAGATGGTGAAATTGGTAAAGGGCTAGCTGTCTGTCTGCAAGTGTGAGGACCTGAGTGTGAACTCAAGGAACCCCCATAAAAAGCTGGGTCACATGTGTCCCTGTAATCCTGGCACTGGAGAGGGAGAGCTTGGCAGAGCCCGGGAACTTGGTGAACTTCAGGTTCAGTGAGAGACCCTGACTCAAAATGGTGGAGAGCAATACAGAAGGTATCGGCCTGACCAGTGCCTGGCCTAACCCTACTCTAACCATAACCTTCAGGCATATGCACATGTGTGCATGCCTTGAATGTGTGTACATACACATGAGCACACACATGCATGTACAAACCACCCATAAAGATAAAGAAAGGGGAGCATTATTCTGAGACCAGGTTGGGGACAGAAAACACATAGGCTACCATAACACTTTTCTCTTCCGGCTCCTTTATGACACCTCTAGCTCTCCTTAATCTTTTTACTTCTGAGATAAAGATAATAGCACATACCCAGCCAGGGGTTCCTGGTAGCACCCACGGAGAATTTTGTCTGCCTCCAGTGTAAACGCATGCAGTGAGAATGTCCTGCCTTCTAACTCCTGTCCCAGGGGCGCCCACAGCTATGCAGTGTTGTTCCTTACTTCAGCAAGCACTTCAACATAAAACTGAGACATGCGTGCCCTTGATTCTCTGTGAAGCCACATTGTGTTACTCCATGGAATGCAGCATGTTTTTGTTTTTTAACATTAATCTATTTCTTTATTACAATTTATTCACTTTGTATCCCAGAGATAGCCCCCTCCCTTATCTCCTCCAGGTCCCACCCTCCCTTCATCTTCCTTTCTATTCCTCTCCCCTATTTCTCAGAAAGGGGGAGCCCTCCTCCCCTACCATCTGACCTGAGCCTATCAAGTCTCATCAGGACTGCCTGCATCTTCTTCCTCTATCGCCTGGCAATGGCACCCCCACTAGGAGGAAGTGATCAAAAAGCACACAACAGAGTCCATGTCAGAGACAGCCCCTGCTCCCATTACTCGGGAACCCACATGAAGACTGAGCTGCCTATAGGCTACATCCTAGCAGGGGTCTATGTCCTCTCCATGCACAGTCCTTGGTTGGAGCATCAGTCCCTGCCCAGGACCCCCTGGGCTCAGCTCTTTTAGCTCTCCTCGTGGAGCTCCTGTCCCCTCCAGGTCTTTCTATCTCCCCCTTCTTCCATAAGATTCCCTGCACTCTGCTCAAAGTTTGGCTGTGAGTCTCAGCCTCTGCTTCGATCCCCTGCTGGGTAGTCTTTCAAGAGGCCCTCTGTGGAAGGCACCTGTCCTGTTCCCTTTCTTCTCCCACTTCAGATGTCCTGTTTGCCCTTCTGAATGAGGATTGAGCCTCTTCCCTAGGATCCTCCTTGTTGCTTAGCTTCTTTAGGACTGTGGATTCTAGTATGTTTATCCTATATTATGTGGCTGATACCCACTCATTTTCTTATAAAGGTTATATGCAGTCTTAAGATAAAAAGAAAGTTTTTTATCTTAAAAAATATTTTTTTCTTAAAAGATGTCTAAGTTCCTCTTCTCACATTCCTAAAATAGTGCATTCACAATATTCAGTTAGAGCATTAAATAAAATAATTGCCATCCTATACTTATCCAGCATGCTTAGGGAGATTAGCTCAATCGGTAAAGTGCTTCTATACAAGCATGAGGGCCTGAGCTCAGTTCTCAGAACCCACTTTTAAAAAGACTAGAGGAATGTCATGTGCTTTTACACCAACAATGTGGAGGCAAAAAAAAAAAAAAAAAAAAAAAAAAAAAAGGGAGGAATTCCTACAACTCACTGGCCACAAGCTCCAGCAAGAGACCCTGCCTCAATAAACAAGATCAGCGGCTCTTGACTCATGGCTGCCCTCTAGCCATCACACACACATGTGTACACCTGTGCACATGTACCCACACAAACAAGCAACCAAGTTCTTCTGGAACTTACAAACACAACCTAACGACATGGATCTTTGCTGGGAAACATTCCTCTGAGCCTTTGGGAAGCTGGCCATTCGCCTGGGCTCTGCCAGGCTAACCTATGGAAAAATAGCTCACAGAAGGGCGTCTCATTGCAGGTTTTGAAAGAGATTGATGAACTCGGTGATCTGCTGAATGTGAAATATTCTCCATTCAAGGAGTCAGGACGTGCTGCACTTGACAATAAGAAGTGTTCTGACAATGAAGCGAGCTTTGAGGAGATGAGCTCTGAGCCTCGAGCATAAGCTTCCTGGCTTGGAACAGAACGTAAAGCCTGCCAGAAAGACCTCCCTCCCTCTCTGTCTCACAAGTAATATAATTGTATTTTACCTCTTCCTAAGGACAACTTTATTTTCCAAATCAGCTTAACTGAATGAGGGAAATAGTCATTTCTCTACTATCTCTAATCCACTGCTGCTATATATATATATATATATATATATCTGTCTAGTTTAAATTTTTCCTCTCTTTTGATGGAAACACACAGACATACACTTTTCTTAGAGTATATTTTTTTAATGGCAGTGAACCTGTGTTTTAGCTGCTACTCTCCAGATTTTAGATCAGACCTTTTCAAGAGCTCCAACTAAATGAAAAGATTTTGATTTTTAACTTGAAAAAATCACTGTGCATTTGAGTGTGGCATCTGCACACATGAAAAAGAGGGTCAGGGAAGAGCTGAGTCCCTTGTTCTACCCACAGCAGTTCATATGTATCTTGGGAAGTTCCAGGAAAGGCAGAGGGCAGCATAGCTTTTGTTTGCCACATTTGGACTTTATCCAAGGACAGGTGTCAAAAGACACAGTTAATGCTTGGCAGAGAAGGCAGAACTGGCCAGTGGCAACCAGTGACGTCTTTGAAATGAACCTTCTTTTTCCTCTGGGTGTTCCACAACTTTATTGTTAACCTTTAAGGACTGGCAAGTTCATGGCTCTCATTTTCTAAAGAAGAGGAAGAAAAGCAGTCACAAGCAATCCAGTTTTGGACCTCGTCTAAAACTGCAAAATTAAAACAACCCAAATGATGCTCGTGCCGCACGAAGTGGGCTTAGCACGTTTGGCCTTTATTGCTTGAAGGAACGGCTTCCCGTTTCTCCACTGAGGTCTGAGGGCAGAGCGAACTCAATTTCCTTTAAGACACATTCCCAACTTACATTTGAAAACTGGACTGGCTCACTCTGAGGTATTTAAAGGCCATAGAGATATAGGTCCAGTAAATTGTGTCTTCTCTGGCACCTCTACTCAGCCCTGGTGAGAAGTGGCATCGCACACTGTTGTACAACTATGATTCACACACCCCCCCACCCCGGACCCACAAAACAACACAAACATCTCTGAAAAGATTAGTCTCCTGCTAATTGGTTCTAGTTGGTATGGAAAAAACCAGTGGAAAACCTTATCTTTAACAAGCTCCCAGATGGTGCCCAGACCTGGAAACTCCAAAGAGCAGTGGTGACCTTTTAGCCAAGCTTCTGTAACAGTTCGAATGAGTTACAGAACATTCCACTCCATCAAATGACACTGTAAACAAATCACTTCAAAAGAGGTTTGGCTCTGTGTGACACAGATGGGCCCAAGCTTTCATGCTGTGCACGGAGACAGAAATTCAACCTGCAGCACTAGCGCTGGACAGGGCAAGGCTGATGTTCAAAGCTCACTCAAGAAGAAAGTGATCACTGTATGGCGCGGTTTAAGGACTGTAGCTCGCTGGTGGATTATATTTTTTCTAGTGAATCCCTTGGGGCTGGAGAGGTGGCTTGGCCGCTGAGGGCACTTACCTCTCTTCCAGAGAGGACCTGAGTTCAGGTCTCAATGCTGAGGTTGGATTGTTCACCTGTAACTCCAACTCGGGGCTGTCTTGATGCCTCTGTGGGCACCGGAAGTCATATGAACATACCCACATTCAGACCCACACACATACATCTAATTAAAATATAACAAAATCACCATTAAAAGTGATTTCCGGCTATAAAGTGCCTCACAAGTGCTGAAAGCTAAAGGAATGCTGTGGTGATGGAGGAAAAGGAGCGACTGATGACTAAATTCCAGAGTGAGCTGGCGCAGCACTGCTTCTGCAGAGAAAACGCATCCTGTTGGTGCACAAAGAGGGGAAGAGGTGCAGGTCTCTCCTTTGTAATTTGTGTATTCAATGAAGTTGTCCTTAGCATATCATCGAAACAAAATGCAGAATACTTGCAGTTCAAAACAGGAAATGGAAGGATCAAGAGGGCTGAGAGAGGGCTGCGCTTGCTGCCAAGGCCTGCAAAGTAATAACTACCCCCTTCTTCTCTAGTCCTGTCCGTGATCTTCACCTGCCCTAAGTCACACCTGCCCTAAGATTTCCAACCACCAGATGAACAGGTATCCTCCTCAACAAGAGTGTTTGTGCTTATTACTTGCATGGAGGGATTTGAGTTCAGTTTGTCGTGGAGGGGTTATTTTCCTGCCCAGCATCTGGAGCAAGGAGGGAGGTTCTTTCCTCTCCATTAAGATCTGAAGGTCCTGAACCAGCTTGTTACCTTCCCCTACACATATGAAAAGACTCACTTTGTCAGGGTCTACAATGAATACACACTCAGGAGAAGAATTGCAATTTCAATGGATGCTTCCTGAGTGAGGAGAGGCCCTGACTTTATCTGGTAGCAACATGAGTACATATCATATAGAAATTTGTAAATTATAAGAAATACTGATTTTAATAAGAAAAAATCCTCTCCCACTAAGGTTAGTTAAGGCTGATTTCAATTCAGTGGAAGCTGCCGAGTTTACTAAGCAGAGCTCGGGTCTGTGGAGGTTAAGGGTTCAGTGAGGCGGTGTTTACATCCCAGCCACCCTATGTGCGTGTACTCATAGGCACGCAGACACGTGCATGAATACTTTTATATATGTTTAGAAAGGAAACAAGGGAAATGATGATACCAACTGAAGGTATCTGAATGATTGAGGGATAGGTGTTCTAGAAATCAGCTTTGGGAAAAACAGAAGCTGAAGGTTTCAGACATATTTGTAAGGAAGAAAATTTTGTAAGATGAAGAAATGACAAACACTCGTTTTTAATCTTATCATGGTAGGAGAGTGTCCTGGACACTTCCAGCCCTGCTGCCTTTCAACATGTTTCAGTTTGACAGAGACCACAGGCTTCAGAATTTATTAGGAGGCCTGTTAACATGACAGCCATGTGGCTCGCAGCAGACCACCACGGACTCTGATTGCAGCGCTGCCCTGCATTTTAACAAGCCTCCCCAGGTAATTCCAATGGATGCCAGAATTTGTAAGCCATTATTAGAGCGTTCGGTAGACCAGTGGGCTCCTATAACATAGCAGGGAACTTTTCTGATTCTTTGTTAATGTTTAAGGGTATTTATACTAGTAAGCTGAAATGAATTTAGTTCGTGCTTTTCCTTTTCTCCTCAACGGGCCATATTCTAAGGAATGTCTGTCTTTACAAAAAATAGGCCCAACATTGAAAAGGTCTTCACAAGATGCCTCTTGGCCTCTTTTTCCTTTGTGTTGGTTTCCTTTTTCCGGATATCTCCGCCATTAAAAGGGAAAGTTCAGCCTTTGACTGTTACAACTTCACAGTGGAATGTTATTCTTGCCAGCTCTCACAACACCCTCGACATCTTCTTTCAGAGGTGGCAAACATGAAATCCTAGCTCTTGTTTTAAAACCCAAGTTCTGGTGAATACTTAAACTGTCTTAAATACATGCTTTCATTCACAACGATCATAATTTTGAAAATTGTAAAAATGTATTTGTAATGTATTAGAACACCACACCCTGGCGTGTGTGAACTATTTTATAAATCAGGAAGAGAGTATCTCCCTGGTGCAGGGAGAGAACTCATTGATAATGTATCTCCCATGCAAGCACGAGGATCTATCTGAGCTTACTTACAGAAAAAGCAAAGTATGGAGGTATTATACAGGATTATACAGGTATAATGCTGGTGCTGGGAAGGCTAACCCAGGTAGATTTCTGGGGCTTGACAGCCAATCTACCTAGCCTTATTGGGAAGCTCCAGGTCCTAATGAGAGACCCTCTCGCTAAAAATAAGTATATAGCTCCTGAGGAACAGCACTCAAGGTTGACCTCTGGCCTTGACACACACACACACACACACACACACACACACACACACACAAAGAGAAGACCTTTTCTAGGCAAATACTGTGTATGATATATTGTGGTGTTGTGAAATGTGATATATAGGGTGTGAATACAATGTTTATGTTTCACTGAAACATTTGAGATGACCAGTTTCACTTCATTCTGCTGTAAAATGTTACTTTAATAAATAAATCATTTAAATTGACAGCATGAAAATCATAAATGGTTTTGTTTGTGTTGGTCATTTAAGTCAATCTTGGGAGGGAAAGGCCAGAGTAAAGCTTTGCATCTAGGAACTTTACTAGAGAAAACTGGTAGAAGTAGCTATTGCTAGAGAGACGTGTACTTTCATAGGAACCGACTGTGCGCAGCTCCCTCCACATTCCCCAGTGACATCACAATGGATGCTTGGAATTGGCCCAGTGGGAGAACTGACAACACACAAATTAGCAAGCACTCCCAATCATGGGTCAGGATGTCTGGCTCTTAAAAATTTAGCAGCAGACCACTGGAACCATACACTATGGTACAATTAACGAGCAGTAGTACAATAGGTATATGTTCATTCATAGCACAGACTTTGGCCAAATCAACGGGGAACTGAACAGTTAGATTGTCCCTTAGCACTGAGTCAAACTGAAGGAACAAAACTAGCCTCTCGGCAACCAAACAAAGTTCCCAGGAAGAGACACAGGGTGGACCATTAGCACAAGCGGACGATTCTGCTGCATTGAAGATGATTCCTGTGAGCTTCCGTTTAAAATTCATTTCTGAGATAGCCACTTAAGATTTATAACGGGAAAAGTAGAGTAAACTAGAATAGCATGAGGAACCCAAACACTATCATCACGCTCTAAGCATTGTCACTTCGTGACTAGGCTTTTCATTTTCCCCTTCACTCTCCCTCTCATTAGATTACTTTAAAGCGAACCCAGGAAATAATTTCATTTCATGACTAAGTATTTCCTGGAGTCTTTTGAAAAGGCAGTGATGTCTTAATTTGTTCCTCCTTTCAACCTCATTAAAATACAAGTCTTTGGAATAACATCAGCATCAAAATGAATCAAACGTGAACCTTGCTGTCTCTAGCTCCTCAGCAAGTTGTGGATTCGTACTTCAAAACTAAGAATTCATTC